TATTACAATTATCCATTAAAAAAGAGAGATATTTTGAGAAGAAATTTGAACTAAAATTGAGTTTGACTCTTTTTCACGTTCTCGTTGAGATTTCTTGATTGGTTGAATATATTTTTTATCTATTATATTTATCAAAAATTTCATCTAACATTTGAGCTATTATTTGTTATTATTCATTGAAGTGTTAGCATCTCTTAGTACTTTACTTGTATTATGTATCAAGAGAGGAATTCCATTGTAAAATCATTTTGATAAAGTGTAGGCCGTGTTGAAATTCTGCAAAGATCAACATTGTATAAGGATCAGTGCTCCTTGTTATAAGTCCGTGTGAGTTATATTGAGGTCCCATTAAAGCTCAATAGTGAGTCGTGTTGAGGTCTCGTAAATCTCAATATTGTATAACCACTGAAAATATTGTATAATTTTGGATTGCACCATAAGTCAATCAATATAGTGAAAATGCCTTACTCGTACTAGAGAGTATGGTAACAGATGACGTAGATTATTGCTTTGGATCGAACTTCCACAATTACATTATTTGCCCCAACTCTTTCTTTTATTTATGTCTTTCATATTTGCACCTATTATTTAAATTGATCCATTTAGTCTTTACTTGTTTGAATTTAGATTAATTCTTCGAAAATTCCCCTCTTGATTAGTTATCATTAGGCTATCAATGTGGAGTGAGCCTCTATACCACACATGATTACACACTTCTAAAGTGTAATCATATCTAAAGTGGTCATGGCCTTTATCATTTTTCTATTGAGACAACTTGAATTAGTTTCCCACCAATATAACAAAACCTCTTCCAATTTATCACTTTGAGCCTTAGTTTCTCATTCACCCGATTATAATTTTTGGTAAGTAAATATATGATTTCGATATTCTCACGGATGAGAACATAAATCAACTTTGATTTTCCAAAATGAACAAACGGGTCCCGCTCAAAATTATACCAAAAGTAGCCCTATTAAGCCAATTTTCCAACACATACCGACTAATTAACCGAACCAAACCAAACCTATTGATTCGGTTTCAATAACTGGACTCGATCAGTTTGGGTTGGAATTTACCTAAATCGATCAACTCGATTTTGATTTCTGGTCGAAAGAAGAAACCGAAGCAAAGAAGAATCGAGAGAAAGAAAAGAGAGGAGAAGGAGGAGAAAGAAAAGGATGGCAAAACTAATGAGGGTTCTTCAGGTTCTTCTACAATTTTTATATGTAAGTAAAAGAATTTACTTATGGAAGAATGATGTTTGAATTTAGGGTTTATGTACAATTGTTTATATTTATAGTTTAGCAAGAATTAAAGATTATTGATATGTATTGAGGTACTAAATAATAATATTGCAAAGAGTATATTGAAATATCAGTGTTATAGTGGATGAAATATGAAAGTGGTTTGTAAATTAAAGTTTCAATCTTTAATTTATTTTGTTTTTACTATATAAAACACTTGATTTATGAGGTATTAGATTAGAATAAGGATTTTTATGTTTGATTTTGGTATTTTAGCTCATTTTCGTACAAAATTATCACACTGGTGACTTTTGAAATTCAGTCCAAAAAGTGATGTGTATGTCAGTGGTTTTGAACATAGTTTTCCATTAATAAAAATTGGTGCCAAATTTGTTTGGGCCACATTTTTTTTTCATTTTCATTTTTCTACTCATTTTGAAGCACACATTCTTCAATAAAATAATATTTTTGATCACATCAATAACTTTT